CGTTGCTATCTACAATTGAGAACCAATAGTATAGTTTTTACATTTCATGATATAAGTCTTTTTTCAATCTTGTTTGATATCATACCAAACGTTTTCAAAATGGGAGAAGTATGTATTTGACTTGACTTGATGCATGAGATATGAATGGATTCTTATTGGTGTGGGAAGGTTACCAACCAAACCAATGAAAAACCTATGAATTTGTACTCTCTCTCAAGAAATTAGACCACATATTTTGCACAACAAACTCCACCAAAGTGAGCCAACCAACTAAACAATTTGCACAGAGTTATTAAATATTAATTGTCAAATTTCTTTGCTTAAACTAAAATTGACCATGGCTAGGTCATGAATCAACTTGAAACAACATCCACAAATTTTATTTTTAATTTAATAGTTCTTTCTCAAATTTAATGTCTTCGCTTTATATTATTATTAACATGAATAGCGGAGGTTTGGTTAAGTTTTACAAGCGATTGAATCTTTTTCAATAGTTAAACAAATATATTTTGTTAATTATTTTTGTCGCTTATTAGAAGTAATCATCGAGGATACGAGTATCTTTATTTTTACTAAAGAAAAGTATATCTTCAACTAAGCTCCTGTTTGGCACCAATTTTTTATAATTTATTTTTTTAACATTCATTTTCAACCATATATTTTATAGGACACATAACTTAATTTTATCAACTTTGAAACCATATTTTTTACCAATTTTATCAAAATACACTAAAAATATGAATTTTAACTTAATCAAACGGCCACTGAGTTTAGAGCATTGACGACCTTTTCCAATTCCTGTGTCCACCTTTAAGAATGTAGCTAATAACATGCTTATTAGCTTAATTTATTTACTAATTTGAGATGAAAATTTGCATGAATTTTCGTTATGGTGGAATAGGTTTTTGATAAAAATTACTAGGGTAATATACACGTTCACGGTTTAAATAAATCTTGCTTCTTTTTGTTAACAATAAACTCATAGGGTCACATTGCAATATGTATATGGTTTCTCTCTTTGTTATTTAATTAATTTCTCCGTCTTAATCCATATTCATGATTTGTAAATTTATTATATTTTCCAAAGGATACCTTTCTTAGAGAAATAGAATTGTAGTTTAAGTGTACACGTGTTACATACTTCGAATACGATGTTTGGATAAATTATGTCTCTTTTAAGAAATTTAACAATTAAAATTTAAAATTTTGAATTATTTTTTTGACAAGGTGATATCCAAGTTCAAAATAATCAGAAGAGCAATTCAATTTGTCTAAATTTTAAATGAATAAAGTATTAAATGTCAAGATTAATACTCCGCAAACCGATCCATTAAGTTTTTAGATTAAAAAGAATATATTAACATATAAGAGTTTGAATTATTCTTCTTAGAAGTTAACTTTCGTAATAGAACAAAAAGCAAATGTAAATATTAATTCTATTATAAATTGTGGCCAATTGGCCATCTTATCTTTGGATGTTGTAATTCATAAAATATTTCAACTCTACTTTTGGTGAAAAGATGGAAAAAATAAAAATAAAATATCATGCTATGTAGCTTTGCCTTCACAATTTTCAATTGGAAAATTTTGTTATGGCAAATGGAGTTGTTGCTTGGAGTTTCCTTGTAGGAAAAGTTATCAAGATATAGGAGTGAATGCACATATTTTAAACTTCTAATTTAATTAATAATCGGGGGTGCTATTTTTACTATTTCCCACATTTTTTCATGTTTTTTATATTTTAAATTCAAATTACTGTGATTTTCATTAAAATTCATATCGAGTTATTTTTAGATTCGGTCTGCTAAAAAATCGGGGAACTCTAGAACATCAACTTTCTATTACTTATCTCTATGTATGAAGTGAATTCCAACATTTCAATATTAATGATTTAACGAGTATCGGTGCTCATTTTATATTGAGTATCGGTGACGTATTATATAAAATTATGGTTGATAAATTTACAGGACAAGTCGTCGGTACTCTGTAGATCATTCATGTTGTATAATATCATTTCAAATTTATATTAATTGTTGATTGAATTAAATAATTATATATTATTAAAAATATTTAAATTATTAAATTATTTATCCATGTCACTAAAAAGAAAAACCTTTCATTACATGGTTAGCTATATTACTCAACAATTTGTAGCATATTAATTATAATGACTTACTGATTGGTTGAACTAATGGATCTCATCAAATATTAAATGAACAGAGTAGGATATTAATAATCCAACTTCATAATTATTTAAGTTTAGGCTATAAATTATCTCGTCAAATAACTGAAAAGGAGTGCAATAGTTTCTTCGACGTCAGAATCTCACACAAATAACTGATTCTTATTTTTATTTTGAAAAATTAAAATAATAAAAAAAAAAACTGCTTCATGTACGTTGTACAAATGTCACTACTGTACACATTAGTACTATATAAAGGGTGGGGACATGCTTGAATGGCTCCAGATAGTATTGTGTATGCTGGGACAATTTTTGTTTTGTATTTTTTCTTCAAAATGGAGTTCAGGTTCGTGGGTTTCGTGGGTATGTAGGTGTGTGTGTATATATATATATATATATATATATATATATATGCACATAACGATGTGTTTTGTATTTGATAAAGAATTTGAATTTGGGTGCTCGCAATAACGACACTCAGATCTCTTGCTTGGTTCTAAATCTCAGGTTTTTGCAAAAGAAACAGATTTCTTAGCTTTCAGATATCCGATCCCCTTCTTGTAAGTATCGGTTCTAAACTTCTTTTGCTTTCCAAGTATATTCTATTAAATTCCTTCAACTTTGTGTGTAATTTTTCTTTGCATTCAACAATGTTTTGCCCTAAAGATAACTTTTTGCCATCTGGGTAGGTCTCATTTCCTCCTCTTTTTTCTCCTGTGTTTGATGGGCTCTTCTCTTTTTCTTGGTTCTATGCACCTTGGGAATGTTTTTTGAAGTGTTTTTGTGAAATGGATTTTTGGCCTTTTTTTCTTGAGGAAAAGCCAATACACTTTTTTGAATTTTTGGTTGTCAAGTCTTATTTGTTTTCCTATGTCCTTTCTAGCAGACTTTTTCTTTGTTTTTGTACCGTTTTCTGTCGCTTTATGATTTTCTCTTTGGATGAGCCTTCAATAGTGCTTTTGACTTGTAAACAAACATTATTTATGAGTCTATCTAATTTTTATCCTTTTTTTGAATATAATCGTGTCTTTAATATTGGAATTTCATTAATTTTTGCCGATTGTTTGAATTTCCCAATTGTAAAATACCACATATGTTCTTAATGTAGTTTCTGTTCACCTTCTTTCATTTTCTTTCTACCTATCCTTTACGAATTCGACTTTTGAAATTTGGCTGCAAGAAACTGAACATGGACGCAATTTTTATCAACACAGTAGCTTAGTCTATATTTGTTCCTTGTGCATAAGTATATCTTGATCGTATTATATAGCTCTGGTTAATTATTCTCAGGGAAATTTGGTAAACGTGGATTGGTAGTTTAAGGCTTTCCTTTCATAAGGTGATAATCTTATACTGTTGACGAACGATGGGAGATCACTTTGTTTTGCTGGTTGATCGCTTGCTTACTGAATCAACTTTGGAAGCTGCAATTGAAAGCAGACAGTCATTAAAACAGGCTGCAATTGTTGAAACAGCGATTGACTGCTCGCCTCATAAAGGTTGTGAAGCTAGTTTATCTCCGAGGAAACTGGTTGAGTGCAGAATATGCCAGGATGAAGATATCGATTCGAATATGGAGACTCCTTGCTCTTGCTGTGGTAGCTTAAAGGTTGGTGGACCTTTGATCTTGTTATTACTTTCTCCTAAAGAATTGGATGTTTATAATTATGATTTTTATCCATTTCTGTTTTTTCCAAGTTTGTGCAATTCAGATAATTAGTTAGCTTCTAATTGTCTTTTGATGTTGCTTATTTGTACAACAATATTTAAAGCCTAAGGGACATAATTTGGCCTTATTCATCCATCCCTGAAACTCAAGAAATTATCCTGTTCTTTAGTACGAGCGACCAGGATTGTGATATGTACTATATTTAGAATTTTCTGGTAGTTCTAATTAGCAACTGGTTGTTTTATATGTAAAGCTTGGAAAATAATTTTGAGTAATGATTGAATATTTGTGTTTTGTTTGGCAGCGTCTGATTTTGTTGAAATCTGACTTTATTGACATAATATTCCATAACAACGTAGAGATATGACCTAGAATATTTTTTTGAAAGCAAGATGCCTTTTTTTTTTTTTTCCTCGATCATTTATACTAATTTGATTATTTTCCTCTTTTTTCCAATTATGATTAAAAAGTATTCAATGTTGGCTCTGCTTTGCTTCCAGTATGCTCACCGGAAATGCGTTCAGAGGTGGTGTAATGAGAAGGGTGACACTGTATGTGAGATATGCCATCAGGTGGGCTAATATTTTCATATGTATTTTACATTTTGCTTTAGGTGCTCGCTGTTATGTTGCTTAATTTTAGTTGTATACTGTGTATAAATTTATTGCAGCAATTCAAGCCAGGATATACAGCACCACCACCTATTTTCCGATTTCGTGGAATACCAATGAACTTCAGGTAATTCTATTTTAACCTTTCCCTTGTATTCATTTGTCTATGGTAAACAATTATGTGAAAGGAATATATGCATTGTTGTGTAGTTTTTCATCACCAACTCGCTTGATTTTTATATCAGGGGAAATTGGCAAATAGCCAGGAGGGACTTGGCTAATCCTCGCTTTGTAACAATGGTTTCGAGTGAGAGCAATTTCCTTGATCCTGACTATGATGAATATGAAATTTCTACATCGAGAAGTATAATCTGCTGTCGCTCAATTGCCATAATTGTAAGAAATTGTCAGTAGAGGATTATATGTGTTTAGTTTATTTGAGTTTCATACATAAACACAACAATATTGGATTGATGAACTTGCTTTCTGATATTGCAAACGTATTTCATTTATCACATTGGCCTGAGTTTGTTATACTTAACTGAAACTCTCAAAGAAATTATTAAAGATATACTTGGTATAATTATCATTCATCACAATTATTAGGCTGAGTAACAATACACGCAACTAACAATAGTGTCTTTCTATGTAATGATTTTCTTCTCTGTAGTTTATGATCCTTCTAATCTTGAGGCATACTCTTCCTATCATTGTTAGTCGAGCAGGGAACTATTCGTTCCCATTGATCATGGTAAGATACTAGCTAATCGAAAATGGGAAGTCCAAATTTTTTACAGCTACAGATGAAAGTTTCTCATTTGTCTTTTTGCATATGACAGCTATTACTGCTAAGAATTGCTGGGATTATTCTACCAATCTGCATAATACTGAAAGCCGTGACTTCTATCATACGTCGTCGACAACAGGTGAATGAAGTAGCCTTGCTGAACTTTTCCCTTATATCTCTCTATTGGATTATGATAAACAAATGCAAGTAACCTTATTTGTCTCCTCTTTGTGTGGTGACAGGCTAATCTATCCATCACTCCATCAGACGAAGAAGCTGGCCAATTGACTCTACATCAGCCACATGCGATGCCTGTTCGCTAAATGGTTCTTGATGTTGCAACTTGAACTGATGGTAAATTTCTGTTCTTTCAAGGGAGCTCGTATTGCAAATCTTCATTTCACAGAAAGTTATTAAAGCGCGACAGTTGCTATGAATTCGCAATTATCCAAAGATGATACAAACAATGTTGTGTTTTACTTCTTACTATGAACAAATGTGCCTTAACCTTATCCGGGGTAATCTTATTTTGAACATTTGTACCCTCTCAAGTGTACATTTTCAGGTGTAAATTTGTTACTGCACCTTTGAAGAACTATCTGTACAGAACTTTTATACTAGATTGTTAATGAAAATGAAGGAAGAATTAGAGATGAATGTCTGTCTTCTAGGTGGCTATTGGTTTGCTTGCATTTGTTGACCATTACTGTGTTTAAGTAATTCTTTGAAAGCATAAGTTGAAGAAAAGAATATGAAAGTTGAATGATTAAGAAAGTGGTTGTTGACCTTGAGAAGCTTAATTATACATATCCCAATAATTCCATTTTCTTTATTATTATTATAATTATTTTCATGTGGAGCCTTTCCTTGCTATCAAATGATGTTTGTCCAGCGTATTTCTTTTTCTTCCCTAAAAATGAATATACATATGCAAATTTCTTGATCAAAATCAAAGCTAATTTCAAAAGGGCATCTGGGTAATTAAATTTTATCTTCAATTATCTTTTAAAAATAATTATTATGTTACTTAAATAGAAAGCGTATGTACAAAAGTTTGTCCTTCTAAAAAAGAAGGAAAAATATGGACCTAGAAGGAGGCCTCGCTTTTGAGACAGAGATGGTCAACTCACCTAATGTGGGAGGAGACCTAGGTAATATTAAGGTGCACGCTCTTTTTGCTTGCTTTTTTTAACTTTTCGTCCATTTTTTTAAAGGTAAATAAATTTATTAAGTAAAAAAACAATTATTAAAATTCTTATTAAACAATGATATTGATACATGTAACAATATATAATTTAGCCATTGTTTAAGCCTCATTTTTTCAAAAATTCAATTTTTCAAAACTCATTTTTAATTACATTCTCAAATAAAATAATTTTATACATAAATCGAAACTTTTTTCTTACTTTTAAACACACATTCTTCAAAACATCACAATTCAATAATAAATTTTTGGAAAAAAAATCATAAGTAAGAGTTTAAGTATCACACATTTAAAAAAAAAAAAAACAAGTTTCAAACTTCATAAATCAAATTTTTATTAAATTTTATTTATGATTTAATTAATTAATTAATTTATTAATTAAATATATTTCGTTCACAAATCTATAACTTTGGTCACAAATTAATGATTTAATTAGTCACTTATTATTTTTTTGTTACAAATAAAAAACGGCCACAATTTAAAAATTTTATAGGTCACAATTTGTTTATCAATCACAAATTAAAAAATTTGTAAGTCACGATTTATTTATTAATCACAACTTATTATACAATCACAGATTATCAAATTATTCATCGATTACAAAATCAAAACTTTTATTAATTACAATTCATTTATTTACTACAAATTATTAAATTAATTGGTCACAATTAATTTTTCGATCACAAATTAATGAATTACTTTAAGTCATATGCTACAACTACAGCCACACCCCAACGCGACAGTAGCACCACCAGCACGACCGCTTCACCATCACAACCCACGTTGCCACCACCACTCTCTACCAACAAATCATATCCAAAATGCCATGGCCTTACCGCCGTCATCGCCGCCTCCACAATACCTAAACACTCCTTCACAGAATAGGCAAGAATAAACCATCACGATAATCACCGCAACAAACCACCATACCAGCAGCTGGCCAAAAACCCCAAACAAAATCGCCACCACCAACACTGTCGCCTAAACACCAGATCTAAACCAGGAGACAGAGAGAGAGTTGAGCATAGAGAAGAGGGAGAGAGAAGGAAGAGGGAAGATAGAGGCGACACCACTGCTCATCTAGCAGCATCGACGGCACCTCCGTTCTTGCAGCAGCGATGTCAACCACTATTGCAGCAACATAGATGTCATCGAGCAAGTGTGGTGGAAATGTGATAAAACTGGCATCCATCATTGACGGTGATGTGGCACCGGATGTGGTGGCGGCGAGAAGATGACGATAGAGACGAGAGAGTGAGAAGATAGAGAGAGATGAGGAGGAAAGATCTAGCACTGTCGATAGAGATAGGGGTTAATATGGATTTATAATAATTAAATTAATATCTGACTTGTAAAATAATAAACTTAGCATAGGATTTAAGAAATGTGATATTTAAAAGTACGCTTTTATGTAATTTTCACTACATCGCCCTCCCCTCAAAAAGAAAAAAAAGAAAAAGAGAATGGAACTCAAACAAGACTTATTGCATGCAGCAATAAAAATAATTATGTATCAAATAACAAAGTATCATAAGTATACAACGTGTGACGATTATCATTAATATTTACTATAAATACAATTATTCTATATAAAAAATAGAGAAACTCCTAAGCTTTAAAGGTTGAATCCCAGCCTTGCCGTTTTGTGACACCTGATGCCTTTCCAGAACTTTGTAAAACTTGAAAGGTGTTTGAGAGATATTTTTATGTAAAAATGTATTTTTAAATAGTAAATTGATGGAAAATGTGATTGAAAAATAAGAAAAGTTTTTAATTTACTTGTAATATTATTTTAATAAAGAATGTATAGTTGAAAATAAGAGAGAAAAATATATTTTAAAAAAATGGGTACCAAACGGATTGCCAACTGAGTCAATTATTATCGTTATTATTTTGAAAACACAGATTCGGTTATTCTGGAAGCATGGAACCTACAAAGGTTCCTAATCTTTCGTGGATGTTATAGATATTTATGTGTCTCCAAAGTTCTAAAACTGTGACAATGATGTTCCAGCGAACCAAAAATATTTATTCGGACAGATTTCCCGTTTTCAAGGTCGAACAGACGAGATCGGCCCCAAAACACTGCTAAATACGTCAAAAGCATCCATAACGCATCCATAACTAATCTTAATTTCTACACGAGATTTTAAGCCCCTCTTTGGTGGGAATTAAAATCAATCTTTTAATAGATTACGATAAAAGTTGATGAAATATTAGCATTACATGTTAATTGCTACAGTTCACTTTTCTGTAAAATAAAAATACATCATATGTGGGAGAAAAATCGACGTTTAAATCAAAATCTCAATAATCATATGACACACTTCTAATATTTAATAACAAAACCTGTACAATCTGAAAGAGAGACCCCAGAAGAAATGTATATGGAAAATTATCCTCTCCAGGCTTTCAACTTGTTTCCAGTACATGGCCTGATTTCAATCTCTTTTAACTGATGCTCATATACACAAATCTCTCCTGTTAACAAGAAGTTCAGTTCCAGCTTCTTCTTGGCCTGAAATGTTGGTGTTAAAGAAAAAAAAATGAATAAGAATATTAATTTCCTTGAAACACAAATACCTATATCCTCTTACATATCATTCGTAATTTTATTTCTTACTCCTCTGCTCCCCCCCCCACCAATTTTTTCTCTCGCCATTAAATGAATTATGAATGAACTTGTTACTCCTCTTTACAATCAAATATTTTTCAAGGAGTGTAGGTGGTATTTATACTTCCGGCTCTTCTGTCGTTGCCTCCAGTAGCAGGCAAGCGCTCCAAACGCACAGCTTGCAATAGCGATTGCCAGTGCAGCTCCAACAGGCACTGCAACAGCATTTGTCGAAACTGCTAAATCTTCAGCTACAACTCTATCTGTATGTCCATCCCCGAGACGTTCCTTGTCCTTGTACAGAGAGATCAATGTCTTCCCATAATAGTTGCTCAAGAACTTGAAAACCTCATCATGATCCCAATCAATATGATTATCTTTTGCGTTTTGACTACGATAGCAAGAAGAGCAAAGCTGTTTAGGAGGCCAAATAAGTTTTGGAAACTTAGGATCACCGGTTCCTAGGGATGTCTCTTCCTTCATTAGTCTCTCATTAACTTTGTTGTGCGCATTCCATAACCAGAGGACAAATTCACGAGATTTCTTGAAAGGGGTAGAAACGCTGCATAATCCAAAATTCTATTTAGATTATGTGCAGCAGAAACTTGATGAGTAAAAATCGTCAATGAAATTACCTTGAGCACATGTCATAGAAGTGCTGTCGGCATTCCTCACAGATAAAGAAACTGTGAATAAAATCACATACAGCAGTGAAAGCCATGTGACTTTCTCCATCATCAACTCTCACAGAAAGTGAGTGCATTAAAACCCACAACCCACAACTGAAAAAGAAATAAAAGGTCGACCAGTTAAAGACTTTAAAACAGACTCCCGTAGACTTGCAGACAACAAATGCAAAAACTTCACTTCAGTGGTAGAAAGCAATCCAGCAGCCAGTTTGTGTTAAAAGATTCAAGTAAACAAACTTTAAAGCTCTAGTAGCCAGCCAACCACAAGTTGAAGGCCATCACCAACTTTAATCGTTGTTTATTCAAGGGTTGCTTTAAGGTGCACAGAAGATAAGAGTTGACATTATTGCCAAAAGTGATTATTGCTATTCACTAAATGATATTTTCATGCACAGGCAGGCACAACTCACAAGTTATTAATTGTTCAATCTCTCAAGCATTAGAATGAACTGAAAAGAACAAACGAATACAAATGATTATGCATTTATGAATAAAAAAAAATCAAATATAAACAGAAGTGGCAATTAAATCTTCTGATGCTATGTGCAAACATCTAGAAGAGACTTAGATTGAATATAGGCTTTTCTTCAACAAATTCAATACTGTCAAAAAAAGTGAACTTTGTAGTAACCTTGGAACAATGCGCAACCGAGTTCTAAAATAGATACTTTGAGCCGAAATTTATTTATTATATTTTTTGGAAGACCTGATCATACTCATAATTCTTGCTGCCAAAATGAAACAGTTACCTCGTCAAATCACCAATTCCACCATGAACAGTATGGAAATGAAACAGAGAGAGTACAAATCTACCGAAAACACAAGGAACCAACACTTAGAAGAATTAAATACAGTCTATGCAGATAGTCTCTTACGCATTACTGCATAGAAAGTTTAGACGTTGAAGTTTCTCAGGACTTCAACCATATGCAGCTTAATTCTTCAGCGCAAATACTAACATTCTTTACTGGATCAGTCTCAGTAGCTGTAGAGCGTTCTTTTAAGAATAGTGTTGAAGCGGTGTCCTAAAGGGGATATTGGTTTAAGCTACTAACTACTTCCCATTTAGATTTTCAAGAACAAATCTCTTACTATATATTGCAGAACCGTGTATTTTGTTAACGAACAAGACAAGTAATATAAAAGAAAAGGGTGCAAAGAAGAGAAGAATTGAGGTCAAAGAGAAATCAATCTTTATTCATATATTCGGGTTGAATATTTACAATGATTAAGCCCTTTATTTATAGTGCAAGAAACTGAAAGAATATCAAATCAAACGAACTTCTACCAATCTAGAACTCTATCAAAATATCAAATCTAATTTAATTTACACTAAATAGCATATTTAGAATCAAACTCTACTTTTCAAATAATATATAAACTTCTCTATCCATATTTCTTTCTCCATCACTATATCTTCTACACATGCAGATGGCAATCGAAAAATACCAAAAATTACCACTTCCTAAGCTAAAGAATATTTAGGCTTTGTTTGAGCCCCATTTTTGTGAAAAATGAGTTTTGCAATAATGAATTTTTTGGAGAAAGTGTAGGTAAAAAGTAGGAAAAAAGTTGGGTTACGTGCAAAATTATTTTATTGAAAGAATGTGTAGTTGAAAATGTGTATGGGGAAAAATGAGTTACTAGATAATGGGGTTCAAAAGAGTTTGGGCAAAAATGTGTGGTTAATATTCACTTGCATTTTCTCCAAGATGATGCGACTCACAGTGGAAAGATGAATTGCAGCTTAAAACTTTTAAAACTTCCTTGCTCAACCTATTTAAATAGAATTCAGTGCCTGCATAGTGCAATTCACTTTTCAATTTAAAGGTCACTTTCTTTGTGTTGAGTTAATGGGTCTAAAGAACAACATGGCCACACAACATTCTAAGAAGGAGATGGTAAACATCTACTTCCAACTATGTTATAAACCTACTTCAGTAGACTGAACATGTGAGGAATTAATTAAGAACAGAGCATACATTGAAATGAATGAAAGATGAATGTGCCTCACCTAAAACCTCTAGTCTCATTCTTGCTGCCACGACAAAACATCTACAAAAGAAAATCCATAGCCAGATTTGAAAGATCAGAAGCTCATTCATTTACTCGGCACAGATATGATATTTCAGCTAAATATAGCATAGTAATATTATATTTTGATACACGAATAGAAAACAAGGGTGGGATTAAAATTTTTAAACATGTGATTGCTTGGCATGCATGTAATGTAAATAACAAGGCTGAAGATTACTCTCTCCTTCAGTTATTAAATACTTGGGTGCATTGTTGTTCATTAAGTAAGCCAGCACAGTTGTCCTAACAAATATCAGAGACACCACTCCGAAATGAATAGCTTGTCATTTCCTTTTAATGAGCAACCAACTACATTCAACAAATAACTAAATAAGGTTTTACTAACCACTCAATAATGAAAAGTTTTCAATGGGATCCCTAACATTTCAGCTCTTAGTTCGTTTCTTTGAGTGCCCCCAACTCCCCTCCCCCAACAGAAGATACTATTGATATTTTTTTATTTTTTTATTTTGACAAACCACATGTTAACGTTCAATAGTGAGAGGAACAATACTACTAATAGTACAAACTATTCTATTAAGGGAATGTAGAAAACTTGGAAGGGGGTAATTGATAACTGATATATACACACCCAATATCCACGAGGAATTTCTTTTCCACAAATCTGATAATTCCCAAATACACCTTTTTGGCTAAGACTGGCAAGTTCCTTGTTGGCTGACAAATCATCAAGGTCTACAAGTATTTCTGCAGTTCCCTTCCGGCACCTAATAAACAATATCAAAATCCAAAAATGATGAAGATAAAAGAAAACAAACAAACAATAATAGAAAAAAGAGAGGGGGCCAAACCTTCTCGACGGGTGATGAACCACCAAAAGCTGAAGAAATTTCATAAGTGATGCTCGGGTCTCTGATTTAATCATCTGCACAAGATTAATAAATAAAAAAAAGTTAAGTGACGCGAGGTATTAAAAAAAATATGAAAGCAATAATATTAAACAGAAAAAGAAAATTAAAACATACGGATAGTCACCTTCTGCTCTAAAATAATATCAAAGGCAGTGGATGTTGCTTCTTCAACATCATATACAGCACGTGCAATCTTTCTCCACAAACAGTTGAATAAAGTCAGAACACTAGATAATAATGAAAATTTGAATTCCTAAAAATTAAGAAGCCAATACATGCACTCTTAAGTACCTGTCCAGGGTCAGAAATATTTGTGTGAAGATGCTCCTTCTCATATTTCTCGTCATCCAAGCCATATGAGCTGAAAGAAATAAAGTGTAGGAAAAGAAAGGAAAAGAAAAGAAAATGTTAATGCCAATGTTGGTTCCAAATATAGACCTAGAAACATACAGTACCCAACAAGAATTTACTAGAAAATAGAACAATGCCTTTTATTGTGCAACTATTCATGCATCTTAAGAGGCCATATTTAAACATGAGCATGCAAAAGATAATATCATGAGGCGAGATTTCCGCCTATAGAACAGGTACACGCCAATTATTATACCTGCCCAGTTGCTTATTTATCCAGTTTAGTAAGCGATCAGCGGTCCGTCCATCATCAATGGAATGTATTTCACTCTTTTCTTGCTTTGGCTTCCAACTCCCAGATACAAACTTAGAAGGTGGGCCCCAAAGAAGCATAGGATAGTGTCCGACAGAGAACTTATCACAAAGATTGGTATTTATCTGTGCTGCCAAGCAAGTAAAAAAGGAGAACCATCACTAAGCTATAATTTAGCAAAGAGATATCAAACAAAGAAAAATACTGAAATTTAATAAAATGGATGATAAACCAATATCATTAATTCTAATAAATGTAAAGTATTAAAGCGAAGTTATTGGCACATGAAGAAGAAGACTGATAGGAATATGTGAATAAAAGATGCAACGGAACACCCAAGCTTAGGCATGCAGCAACATGTCATCTCAAGGTCAGTATTAATTATCTCTAGCCTACGCAATCAAGAAAAATTTCAGTAATTCCTTTCTCTTGCTCTCACAAAACATATCTACTTCCTTGTGACATTTAACCACTTCAAGCGGGTATAAATACAAATAGCAATATTTCAACTCAAGATTAGTAAATATCTCTATCCCAGTCAATTAAGAAATCAGTGTATTCAAATCTCTCAAATGCACAAATAAAAAAATATCTACTTTCCTTTTGATTTTCAACAACTTCGAGAGGCTATAAAACAAAACTTTTAGGCCCCACTAACAAACATGACCATAGTTGAGAGTAACAAAAAGAGAAGTGTAATCTAAATTGCTTAAAAGAAACGGAAATTTCAGAAGAATATTTTGTTCCTTCAGATATGTTGATCAATACTTATCAAAATTTTGCCTCATTGACAAATTCTTTAGTTGTGAGGCTAAAGACGCAATGCATACTGTGCAAATAGGCATAATGGAACTAATAACATATTTTATACTGTTCCAACAAAGATAACTTCATCTTAGCGACTCAGGGATTGAATATCAGCAAGCTGTTTCATGAGTTATTGTTCATGAGTACATCTTAATAGGAGTGCATAATTACTGCTTTGACAGTCAAGATTCAGATTTTCAACTCATGATGTATAATCTCCAAATGAATGAAAGGCACGTGGAAGAATCATTAGGGCATTTCCAGTATCAGGAAAATGCATTTCCTTCTTTGAATTGCCCCAGCCGTGGTTTATGACACCAAAAGACTGAAACGTCTACACCATTTGTTCACCACTTCAAATAGAGAAAATAAACTTTTGAACATCTTCATTATACATATTTTAAGGTGGTACTCATTTATACATGTTTGAGGGTGTACTCATTATACATATTTGAGGATGGTACTCTGAACCACCAATGAACTGATGATATGCATAATCTTTGGTTTTCACGTCAGTTGTAGTAAATTTGAAGGCATCTCAAAAGTAGAAATTTTGGAAAAATTCAAACAGCAAAACAATAAGATTATAATTTTCAGTTTCATTTAAGCAAAGGTTGTTAAGCTTACTTCTAGTTTATATAACCATGCAGAACAAGGAAAGCCAGAATAGTCATTACAGCTTCTAACCAAGGATGATAATCTATAACATCTCGAAAGAGGATGTCAAAGGAGAAGAAACCTTCAAACATCCTCCCAAAATGAATCTTATTACCCATTTCAACAGCACATTTAGTGAAGCGAAGAAAGATGTTAGTTCCTGAGAAATGTACTTCCAGGGACTTCTAAACGTACTACACTAGTGTCCCATCTATTAATATATTTCATATTTGCTTCTTATGACCTTACCACAAAGAGAGTTTTGTTTCAATAAAATCTCCAAAGCCACTTTCCAGTTCAAGCGGACTTTTTACTTGTTTTAGAGTACCAATTCCCAGCTCCTTAAATCTTTACGCCTAACAACCAAATCCCAAGCAAGCAACAAAATTGATCCGACCTGTCTTCCTTTCAATATAGAAATCCCTCATGAGCTCTTCTAGCTTGGAAGCTATGATCTTTGGTAACCTAAGCTGAGTCATATAAATTTGATAAAATTAAGGTCAATCTCCCTCCGCAAAACAAAAATTGTATTCTCTTCGAGCCATCTAGCCTTCAGAAATTTTCTGAACAACCAGACACCAAATTAAGGTAAATCTCTCTCCTCAAAACAAAAATTATATTTTCTTCAAGCCATCTAGCCTCTCTGAACGACCGGACACCAACGTTGATAACACAGTGCATTTCTTCTAAAAGGTAGCCCCATAAACTTTAGATGTCAATCCCCCACTCACAACCAAGCATAAATGTTGCAGACTGCGATTGAAGGGAACATTGATTACCATAATCTTGCTCTTTCCAATTATAATCTTCAGATTTTGCAACAAACACTTTCAAAGTATCATCAAACGCAAAAAATTATCCTATGATGCTAACATAAAGAAGAGTCATCACCATATTGTAGCTAAGAAACAGGAAATTTTCCCTACCTCTACCAAACCCCTCTTTTCACTATTTAAATTTCATTCAGTTTGTCATAAACAAGAAATCATCTCCTCACAAGTCAACACTCTCTGTTTTTCAAATTTATTCTCACCACCAGCAAGGTTCCTCCAACCTGTCAATAAGATATAGACTGCATACATCAAGCCTAAATTAGTTCATCCATTTTAGGCATGATTCTTGTAAATATAGCTATACAAATATACTTACCTTAATTAGGTAGATTTGATTGATGTAATTCCTGAATTTAACCTTGGAATGAGCCCAATATTTTCGATATATTAAGAGTATATCCAAGAGACTCTTTGGGGGGCGTTTGTTTCCCATTTTTGTAAAAATGAAAATGAAAAATATAGTCGTTATGGGTCCCACACAAGAGATAGAAATTCAAATTTGGTAGCTTGATGTGATAGATAACGATCATTTTTTCATTTTAATGGGGAAAGAATGGGAAACAAACAGGGATTTTATTTATAAAGAGCATATCATGCATTCTAGAGATCATCTTTAAATTTTTATTTTTTTTTAAAGGTAATCAAATATTTTATTAATCAATAGAAAATACACGAGAAGTGTATTATTAATTTACACCAAAAAGGAACAACATAAAATTAGGCAGCCAATCTATAATGCCTAGTAACCGCAGCATTAAACCAAGTATACGATGTCAAATAAAATAATTCTATAATCTACTCTGTTGTTCGTGTTTTATCTTCAAAACAACGGTTGTTTCTCTCTCTACACACACCCTACGATGCAATCCGGAATAAGATTCCATACAAGCTTGCTATCATTGTCGCGAAACTTCCTTCTCCATGCCTCTAACACATCTTCCATATGTCTCGGCAACACCCAATTCATTTGTTGAGATGCCAGAATAACGTTCCACAACAAACGAGCAATATCATAGTGAAGGAACAAGTGGTCAATTGTCTCCCCATCCCTTCTACACATATAGCACCACTCTGTAACATAAAAACCATTGTTTGGAGATTATCCGCAGTTAACACTTGTGCCCTGACAACAATCCATTGTAAAAATGCCATCCTTGGAGGCAGTTTACATTTCCATACCATCTTCCAAGAGAATGAACTCTCCGCGGATTCCAATAAAGATATAAAATACATGCCGACTGAGAAGATACCATCCTCTGTCAACGTCCAGCTACTACAATCACCCTCTCCTACCCTAATGTGCACCTTATACAAAGATGTCAATGACAAAGCATAATCATCCGCCCAGTCCTGCAAACCCCGTCAAAAGGCAATGTTCCAACTGAGACTTCCATTATGTATATCTAAGACCTCATTCACCGTATTAGACGGCTCTAAAGCAATACGATACTAAGAGGAAAATCTCTCTCTAAGCGATTGCTCTCCACACCTACAATCATCCCAAAAACTAATAGTATTACCATCTCCCACCACAAAAGTCAATCTATCCCGAAAAGTGCTTCACCCTCGTCGAATATACCGCCACAAACTCAACCCATAAAAGCCATGGCCATCGACTAAGCACCATACCCCAGCCATAACACCATATTTGCTAATTTCTCTCCAAAAATTCTCCCTCTTCACTCCGAATCGTCACAACCACTTACCTAACAAAGCTTTATTAAACTATATAAGGCCCCTCACTCCGAGACCCCCCCCCTCCCACCCTTGGGAAAGAACAAATTACATCCAAAATAACCAAATGTAATTTCTCCTCCCCTAAACCTCCCCAGAGGAGCTCCCTTTGAATCCTCTCTAGTCTTTTTGCCACTGAAGTTGGAATAGGAAAAAATGTCAAATAATAAGTAGGGAAATTCGACAAAGTAGACTTAGTGAGAGTAAGACGGCCACCTTTTGAGAGGTACAGGCGCTTCCACTTCGCTAGCCTTCTCTTCAGCCTTTCCACAATATTGTTTCAAATATGTGTACTTTTAAACCCTCCTCCCAAAGGAAGCCCAAGATACGACATAGGCAACTGAGCAACCCTGCAACCCAATATAACAGCCAATTCCTCTACGTTCTCGAACTCTCCCACTGTTATAGCCTCATATTTCTCCAAATTTATCCTCAATCCAGACGCAACGTATCATCTACAACAACAAGTGAGAAACCTGCGACTGATCAATCATAAAGCCCCCTAATAATCCCTCCTCCACAGCCTTCTCAAGCATCCTACTGAAAGCCTCCATCACAATAACAAAAAGCAATGGAGATAGAGGATCTCCTTGACTTAGTCCTCTACTACTCCGAAAATAACCCTCAAGAGTACCGTTTACCATAACTGAGAAAAACTTGTAGAGATACAAAACTGAATCCACTAGCACCACTTATCCCCGAAGCCACATCGCCTGAGCATAAACAAAAGAACTCCCCAATTTACGTGCTCATGAGCTTTCTAAATGTCAAGCTTACATAACATTCCTGGAACCCCTAAACGCAATCTTAAGTCGATACATTCATTGGCTGTAAGTACGAAATTTATTATACAATCACAGATTATCAAATTATTCATCGATTACAAAATCAAAACTTTTATTAATTACAATTCATTTATTTACTACAAATTATTAAATTAATTGGTCACAATTAATTTTTCGATCACAAATTAATGAATTACTTTAAGTCATATGCTACAACTACAGCCACACCCCAACGCGACAGTAGCACCACCAGCACGACCGCTTCACCATCACAACCCACGTTGCCACCACCACTCTCTACCAACAAATCATATCCAAAATGCCATGGCCTTACCGCCGTCATCGCCGCCTCCACAATACCTAAACACTCCTTCACAGAATAGGCAAGAATAAACCATCACGATAATCACCGCAACAAACCACCATACCAGCAGCTGGCCAAAAACCCCAAACAAAATCGCCACCACCAACACTGTCGCCTAAACACCAGATCTAAACCAGGAGACAGAGAGAGAGTTGAGCATAGAGAAGAGGGAGAGAGAAGGTAGAGGCGACACCACTGCTCATCTAGCAGCATCGCCGGCACCTCCGTTCTTGCAGCAGCGATGTCAACCACTATTGCAGCAACATAGATGTCATCGAGCAAGTGTGGTGGAAATGTGATAAAACTGGCATCCATCATTGACGGTGATGTGGCACCGGATGTGGTGGCGGCGAGATGATGACGATAGAGACGAGAGAGTGAGAAGATAGAGAGAGATGAGGAGGAAAGATCTAACACTGTCGATAGAGATAGGGGTTAATATGGATTTATAATAATTAAATTAATATCTGATTTGTAAAATAGTAAACTTAGCATAGGATTTAAGAAATGTGAGCTTTAAACGTACGCTTTTATGTAAATTTCACTACATCGCCCTCCCCTCAAAAAAGAAAAAGAAAAAGAGAATGGGAGTCAAACAAGGCTTATTGCATGCTCAATAAAAATAACTACGTATCAAATAACAAAGTATCATAAGTATACAATGGATGACGATTATCATTAGTATTTACTATGAATACAATTATTCTATATAAAAAATAAAGAAACTCCTAAGCTTTAAAGTTTGATTCCCAGCCTTGTCGTTTTGTGACACCTGATGCCTTCCTAGAACTTTGTAAAACTGTTTGGTAGATATTTTTATGTAAATACACATTTTTGAATAGTAAATTGATGAAAAATAAGAAAAATTTTTTAATTTACGAGTAATATTATTTTAATAAAAAATGAATAGTTGAAATTAAGAGAGAAAATATATTTTGAAAAAAATGGATACCAAACGAATTGCCAACTGATTCAATTATTATCGTTATTATTTTGAAAACACAGATTCGGTTATTCTGGAAGCATAGAGCCTACAAAGGTTCCTAATCTTTCTTAGATGTTATAGAGATTTATGTGTCTCCAAAGTTCTAAAACTGTGACAATGATGTTCCAGCGAACCAAAAATATTTATTCGGACAGATTTCCCGTTTTCAAGGTCGAGCAGACGAGATCGGCCCCAAAACACTGCTAAATCCGTCAAAAGCATCCATAACGCATCCATAACTAATCTTAATTTCTACACGAGATTTTAAGCCCCTCTTTGGTGGGAATTAAAATCAATCTTTTAATAGATTACGATAAAAGTTGATGAAATATTAGCATTGCATGTTAATTGCTACAGTTCACTTTTCTGTAAAATAAAAATACATCATATGTGGGAGAAAAATCGACGTTTAAATCAAAATCTCAATAATCATATGACACACTTCTAATATTTAATAACAAAACCTGTACAATCTGAAAGAGAGACCCCAGAAGAAATGTATATGGAAAATTATCCTCTCCAGGCTTTCAACTTGTTTCCAGTACATGGCCTGATTTCAATCTCTTTTAACTGATGCTCATATACACAAATCTCTCCTGTTAACAAGAAGTTCAGTTCCAGCTTCTTCTTGGCCTGAAATGTTGGTGTTAAAGAAAAAAAAATGAATAAGAATATTAATTTCCTTGAAACACAAATACCTATATCCTCTTACATATCATTCGTAATTTTATTTCTTACTCCTCTGCTCCCCCCCCACCAATTTTTTCTCTCGCCATTAAATGAATTATGAATGAACTTGTTACTCCTCTTTACAATCAAATATTTTTCAAGGAGTGTAGGTGGTATTTATACTTCCGGCTCTTCTGTCGTTGCCTCCAGTAGCAGGCAAGCGCTCCAAACGCACAGCTTGCAATAGCGATTGCCAGTGCAGCTCCAACAGGCACTGCAACAGCATTTGTCGAAACTGCTAAATCTTCAGCTACAACTCTATCTGTATGTCCATCCCCGAGACGTTCCTTGTCCTTGTACAGAGAGATCAATGTCTTCCCATAATAGTTGCTCAAGAACTTGAAAACCTCATCATGATCCCAATCAATATGATTATCTTTTGCGTTTTGACTACGATAGCAAGAAGAGCAAAGCTGTTTAGGAGGCCAAATAAGTTTTGGAAACTTAGGATCACCGGTTCCTAGGGATGTCTCTTCCTTCATTAGTCTCTCATTAACTTTGTTGTGCGCATTCCATAACCAGAGGACAAATTCACGAGATTTCTTGAAAGGGGTAGAAACGCTGCATAATCCAAAATTCTATTTAGATTATGTGCAGCAGAAACTTGATGAGTAAAAATCGTCAATGAAATTACCTTGAGCACATGTCATAGAAGTGCTGTCGGCATTCCTCACAGATAAAGAAACTGTGAATAAAATCACATACAGCAGTGAAAGCCATGTGACTTTCTCCATCATCAACTCTCACAGAAAGTGAGTGCATTAAAACCCACAACCCACAACTGAAAAAGAAATAAAAGGTCGACCAGTTAAAGACTTTAAAACAGACTCCCGTAGACTTGCAGACAACAAATGCAAAAACTTCACTTCAGTGGTAGAAAGCAATCCAGCAGCCAGTTTGTGTTAAAAGATTCAAGTAAACAAACTTTAAAGCTCTAGTAGCCAGCCAACCACAAGTTGAAGGCCATCACCAACTTTAATCGTTGTTTATTCAAGGGTTGCTTTAAGGTGCACAGAAGATAAGAGTTGACATTATTGCCAAAAGTGATTATTGCTATTCACTAAATGATATTTTCATGCACAGGCAGGCACAACTCACAAGTTATTAATTGTTCAATCTCTCAAGCATTAGAATGAACTGAAAAGAACAAACGAATACAAATGATTATGCATTTATGAATAAAAAAAAATCAAATATAAACAGAAGTGGCAATTAAATCTTCTGATGCTATGTGCAAACATCTAGAAGAGACTTAGATTGAATATAGGCTTTTCTTCAACAAATTCAATACTGTCAAAAAAAGTGAACTTTGTAGTAACCTTGGAACAATGCGCAACCGAGTTCTAAAATAGATACTTTGAGCCGAAATTTATTTATTATATTTTTTGGAAGACCTGATCATACTCATAATTCTTGCTGCCAAAATGAAACAGTTACCTCGTCAAATCACCAATTCCACCATGAACAGTATGGAAATGAAACAGAGAGAGTACAAATCTACCGAAAACACAAGGAACCAACACTTAGAAGAATTAAATACAGTCTATGCAGATAGTCTCTTACGCATTACTGCATAGAAAGTTTAGACGTTGAAGTTTCTCAGGACTTCAACCATATGCAGCTTAATTCTTCAGCGCAAATACTAACATTCTTTACTGGATCAGTCTCAGTAGCTGTAGAGCGTTCTTTTAAGAATAGTGTTGAAGCGGTGTCCTAAAGGGGATATTGGTTTAAGCTACTAACTACTTCCCATTTAGATTTTCAAGAACAAATCTCTTACTATATATTGCAGAACCGTGTATTTTGTTAACGAACAAGACAAGTAATATAAAAGAAAAGGGTGCAAAGAAGAGAAGAATTGAGGTCAAAGAGAAATCAATCTTTATTCATATATTCGGGTTGAATATTTACAATGATTAAGCCCTTTATTTATAGTGCAAGAAACTGAAAGAATATCAAATCAAACGAACTTCTACCAATCTAGAACTCTATCAAAATATCAAATCTAATTTAATTTACACTAAATAGCATATTTAGAATCAAACTCTACTTTTCAAATAATATATAAACTTCTCTATCCATATTTCTTTCTCCATCACTATATCTTCTACACATGCAGATGGCAATCGAAAAATACCAAAAATTACCATTTCCTAAGCTAAAGAATATTTAGGCTTTGTTTGAGCCCCATTTTTGTGAAAAATGAGTTTTGCAATAATGAATTTTTTGGAGAAAGTGTAGGTAAAAAGTAGGAAAAAAGTTGGGTTACGTGCAAAATTATTTTATTGAAAGAATGTGTAGTTGAAAATGTGTATGGGGAAAAATGAGTTACTAGATAATGGGGTTCAAAAGAGTTTGGGCAAAAATGTGTGGTTAATATTCACTTGCATTTTCTCCAAGATGATGCGACTCACAGTGGAAAGATGAATTGCAGCTTAAAACTTTTAAAACTTCCTTGCTCAACCTATTTAAATAGAATTCAGTGCCTGCATAGTGCAATTCACTTTTCAATTTAAAGGTCACTTTCTTTGTGTTGAGTTAATGGGTCTAAAGAACAACATGGCCACACAACATTCTAAGAAGTAGATGGTAAACATCTACTTCCAACTATGTTATAAACCTACTTCAGTAGACTGAACATGTGAGGAATTAATTAAGAACAGAGCATACATTGAAATGAATGAAAGATGAATGTGCCTCACCTAAAACCTCTAGTCTCATTCTTGCTGCCACGACAAAACATCTACAAAAGAAAATCCATAGCCAGATTTGAAAGATCAGAAGCTCATTCATTTACTCGGCACAGATATGATATTTCAGCTAAATATAGCATAGTAATATTATATTTTGATACACGAATAGAAAACAAGGGTGGGATTAAAATTTTTAAACATGTGATTGCTTGGCATGCATGTAATGTAAATAACAAGGCTGAAGATTACTCTCTCCTTCAGTTATTAAATACTTGGGTGCATTGTTGTTCATTAAGTAAGCCAGCACAGTTGTCCTAACAAATATCAGAGACACCACTCCGAAATGAATAGCTTGTCATTTCCTTTTAATGAGCAACCAACTACATTCAACAAATAACTAAATAAGGTTTTACTAACCACTCAATAATGAAAAGTTTTCAATGGGATCCCTAACATTTCAGCTCTTAGTTCGTTTCTTTGAGTGCCCCCAACTCCCCTCCCCCAACAGAAGATACTATTGATATTTTTTTATTTTTTTATTTTGACAAACCACATGTTAACGTTCAATAGTGAGAGGAACAATACTACTAATAGTACAAACTATTCTATTAAGGGAATGTAGAAAACTTGGAAGGGGGTAATTGATAACTGATATATACACACCCAATATCCACGAGGAATTTCTTTTCCACAAATCTGATAATTCCCAAATACACCTTTTTGGCTAAGACTGGCAAGTTCCTTGTTGGCTGACAAATCATCAAGGTCTACAAGTATTTCTGCAGTTCCCTTCCGGCACCTAATAAACAATATCAAAATCCAAAAATGATGAAGATAAAAGAAAACAAACAAACAATAATAGAAAAAAGAGAGGGGGCCAAACCTTCTCGACGGGTGATGAACCACCAAAAGCTGAAGAAATTTCATAAGTGATGCTCGGGTCTCTGATTTAATCATCTGCACAAGATTAATAAATAAAAAAAAGTTAAGTGACGCGAGGTATTAAAAAAAATATGAAAGCAATAATATTAAACAGAAAAAGAAAATTAAAACATACGGATAGTCACCTTCTGCTCTAAAATAATATCAAAGGCAGTGGATGTTGCTTCTTCAACATCATATACAGCACGTGCAATCTTTCTCCACAAACAGTTGAATAAAGTCAGAACACTAGATAATAATGAAAATTTGAATTCCTAAAAATTAAGAAGCCAATACATGCACTCTTAAGTACCTGTCCAGGGTCAGAAATATTTGTGTGAAGATGCTCCTTCTCATATTTCTCGTCATCCAAGCCATATGAGCTGAAAGAAATAAAGTGTAGGAAAAGAAAGGAAAAGAAAAGAAAATGTTAATGCCAATGTTGGTTCCAAATATAGACCTAGAAACATACAGTACCCAACAAGAATTTACTAGAAAATAGAACAATGCCTTTTATTGTGCAACTATTCATGCATCTTAAGAGGCCATATTTAAACATGAGCATGCAAAAGATAATATCATGAGGCGAGATTTCCGCCTATAGAACAGGTACACGCCAATTATTATACCTGCCCAGTTGCTTATTTATCCAGTTTAGTAAGCGATCAGCGGTCCGTCCATCATCAATGGAATGTATTTCACTCTTTTCTTGCTTTGGCTTCCAACTCCCAGATACAAACTTAGAAGGTGGGCCCCAAAGAAGCATAGGATAGTGTCCGACAGAGAACTTATCACAAAGATTGGTATTTATCTGTGCTGCCAAGCAAGTAAAAAAGGAGAACCATCACTAAGCTATAATTTAGCAAAGAGATATCAAACAAAGAAAAATACTGAAATTTAATAAAATGGATGATAAACCAATATCATTAATTCTAATAAATGTAAAGTATTAAAGCGAAGTTATTGGCACATGAAGAAGAAGACTGATAGGAATATGTGAATAAAAGATGCAACGGAACACCCAAGCTTAGGCATGCAGCAACATGTCATCTCAAGGTCAGTATTAATTATCTCTAGCCTACGCAATCAAGAAAAATTTCAGTAATTCCTTTCTCTTGCTCTCACAAAACATATCTACTTCCTTGTGACATTTAACCACTTCAAGAGGGTATAAATACAAATAGCAATATTTCAACTCAAGATTAGTAAATATCTCTATCCCAGTCAATTAAGAAATCAGTGTATTCAAATCTCTCAAATGCACAAATAAAAAAATATCTACTTTCCTTTTGATTTTCAACAACTTCGAGAGGCTATAAAACAAAACTTTTAGGCCCCACTAACAAACATGACCATAGTTGAGAGTAACAAAAAGAGAAGTGTAATCTAAATTGCTTAAAAGAAACGGAAATTTCAGAAGAATATTTTGTTCCTTCAGATATGTTGATCAATACTTATCAAAATTTTGCCTCATTGACAAATTCTTTAGTTGTGAGGCTAAAGACGCAATGCATACTGTGCAAATAGGCATAATGGAACTAATAACATATTTTATACTGTTCCAACAAAGATAACTTCATCTTAGCGACTCAGGGATTGAATATCAGCAAGCTGTTTCATGAGTTATTGTTCATGAGTACATCTTAATAGGAGTGCATAATTACTGCTTTGACAGTCAAGATTCAGATTTTCAACTCATGATGTATAATCTCCAAATGAATGAAAGGCACGTGGAAGAATCATTAGGGCATTTCCAGTATCAGGAAAATGCATTTCCTTCTTTGAATTGCCCCAGCCGTGGTTTATGACACCAAAAGACTGAAACGTCTACACCATTTGTTCACCACTTCAAATAGAGAAAATAAACTTTTGAACATCTTCATTATACATATTTTAAGGTGGTACTCATTTATACATGTTTGAGGGTGTACTCATTATACATATTTGAGGATGGTACTCTGAACCACCAATGAACTGATGATATGCATAATCTTTGGTTTTCACGTCAGTTGTAGTAAATTTGAAGGCATCTCAAAAGTAGAAATTTTGGAAAAATTCAAACAGCAAAACAATAAGATTATAATTTTCAGTTTCATTTAAGCAAAGGTTGTTAAGCTTACTTCTAGTTTATATAACCATGCAGAACAAGGAAAGCCAGAATAGTCATTACAGCTTCTAACCAAGGATGATAATCTATAACATCTCGAAAGAGGATGTCAAAGGAGAAGAAACCTTCAAACATCCTCCCAAAATGAATCTTATTACCCATTTCAACAGCACATTTAGTGAAGCGAAGAAAGATGTTAGTTCCTGAGAAATGTACTTCCAGGGACTTCTAAACGTACTACACTAGTGTCCCATCTATTAATATATTTCATATTTGCTTCTTATGACCTTACCACAAAGAGAGTTTTGTTTCAATAAAATCTCCAAGGCCACTTTCCAGTTCAAGCGGACTTTTTACTTGTTTTAGAGTACCAATTCCCAGCTCCTTAAATCTTTACGCCTAACAACCAAATCCCAAGCAAGCAACAAAATTGATCCGACCTGTCTTCCTTTCAATATAGAAATCCCTCATGAGCTCTTCTAGCTTGGAAGCTATGATCTTTGGTAACCTAAGCTGAGTCATATAAATTTGATAAAATTAAGGTCAATCTCCCTCCGCAAAACAAAAATTGTATTCTCTTCGAGCCATCTAGCCTTCAGAAATTTTCTGAACAACCAGACACCAAATTAAGGTAAATCTCTCTCCTCAAAACAAAAATTATATTTTCTTCAAGCCATCTAGCCTCTCTGAACGACCGGACACCAACGTTGATAACACAGTGCATTTCTTCTAAAAGGTAGCCCCATAAACTTTAGATGTCAATCCCCCACTCACAACCAAGCATAAATGTTGCAGACTGCGATTGAAGGGAACATTGATTACCATAATCTTGCTCTTTCCAATTATAATCTTCAGATTTTGCAACAAACACTTTCAAAGTATCATCAAACGCAAAAAATTATCCTATGATGCTAACATAAAGAAGAGTCATCACCATATTGTAGCTAAGAAACAGGAAATTTTCCCTACCTCTACCAAACCCCTCTTTTCACTATTTAAATTTCATTCAGTTTGTCATAAACAAGAAATCATCTCCTCACAAGTCAACACTCTCTGTTTTTCAAATTTATTCTCACCACCAGCAAGGTTCCTCCAACCTGTCAATAAGATATAGACTGCATACATCAAGCCTAAATTAGTTCATCCATTTTAGGCATGATTCTTGTAAATATAGCTATACAAATATACTTACCTTAATTAGGTAGATTTGATTGATGTAATTCCTGAATTTAACCTTGGAATGAGCCCAATATTTTCGATATATTAAGAGTATATCCAAGAGACTCTTTGGGGGTGTTTGTTTCCCATTTTTGTAAAAATGAAAATGAAAAATATAGTCGTTATGGGTCCCACACAAGAGATAGAAATTCAAATTTGGTAGCTTGATGTGATAGATAACGATCATTTTTTCATTTTAATGGGGAAAGAATGGGAAACAAACAGGGATTTTATTTATAAAGAGCATATCATGCATTCTAGAGATCATCTTTAAATTTTTATTTTTTTTTAAAGGTAATCAAATATTTTATTAATCAATAGAAAATACACGAGAAGTGTATTATTAATTTACACCAAAAAGGAACAACATAAAATTAGGCAGCCAATCTATAATGCCTAGTAACCGCAGCATTAAACCAAGTATACGATGTCAAATAAAATAATTCTATAATCTACTCTGTTGTTCGTGTTTTATCTTCAAAACAACGGTTGTTTCTCTCTCTACACACACCCTACGATGCAATCCGGAATAAGATTCCATACAAGCTTGCTATCATTGTCGCGAAACTTCCTTCTCCATGCCTCTAACACATCTTCCATATGTCTCGGCAACACCCAATTCATTTGTTGAGATGCCAGAATAACGTTCCACAACAAACGAGCAATATCATAGTGAAGGAACAAGTGGTCAATTGTCTCCCCATCCCTTCTACACATATAGCACCACTCTGTAACATAAAAACCATTGTTTGGAGATTATCCGCAGTTAACACTTGTGCCCTGACAACAATCCATTGTAAAAATGCCATCCTTGGAGGCAGTTTACATTTCCATACCATCTTCCAAGAGAATGAACTCTCCGCGGATTCCAATAAAGATATAAAATACATGCCGACTGAGAAGATACCATCCTCTGTCAACGTCCAGCTACTACAATCACCCTCTCCTACCCTAATGTGCACCTTATACAAAGATGTCAATGACAAAGCATAATCATCCGCCCAGTCCTGCAAACCCCGTCAAAAGGCAATGTTCCAACTGAGACTTCCATTATGTATATCTAAGACCTCATTCACCGTATTAGACGGCTCTAAAGCAATACGATACTAAGAGGAAAATCTCTCTCTAAGCGATTGCTCTCCACACCTACAATCATCCCAAAAACTAATAGTATTACCATCTCCCACCACAAAAGTCAATCTATCCCGAAAAGTGCTTCACCCTCGTCGAATATACCGCCACAAACTCAACCCATAAAAGCCATGGCCATCGACTAAGCACCATACCCCAGCCATAACACCATATTTGCTAATTTCTCTCCAAAAATTCTCCCTCTTCACTCTGAATCGTCACAACCACTTACCTAACAAAGCTTTATTAAACTATATAAGGCCCCTCACTCCGAGACCCCCCCCCTCCCACCCTTGGGAAAGAACAAATTACATCCAAAATAACCAAATGTAATTTCTCCTCCCCTAAACCTCCCCAGAGGAGCTCCCTTTGAATCCTCTCTAGTCTTTTTGCCACTGAAGTTGGAATAGGAAAAAATGTCAAATAATAAGTAGGGAAATTCGACAAAGTAGACTTAGTGAGAGTAAGACGGCCACCTTTTGAGAGGTACAGGCGCTTCCACTCCGCTAGCCTTCTCTTCAGCCTTTCCACAATATTGTTTCAAATATGTGTACTTTTAAACCCTCCTCCCAAAGGAAGCCCAAGATACGACATAGGCAACTGAGCAACCCTGCAACCCAATATAACAGCCAATTCCTCTACGTTCTCGAACTCTCCCACTGTTATAGCCTCATATTTCTCCAAATTTATCCTCAATCCAGACGCAACGTATCATCTACAACAACAAGTGAGAAACCTGCGACTGATCAATCATAAAGCCCCCTAATAATCCCTCCTCCACAGCCTTCTCAAGCATCCTACTGAAAGCCTCCATCACAATAACAAAAAGCAATGGAGATAGAGGATCTCCTTGACTTAGTCCTCTACTACTCCGAAAATAACCCTCAAGAGTACCGTTTACCATAACTGAGAAAAACTTGTAGAGATACAAAACTGAATCCACTAGCACCACTTATCCCCGAAGCCACATCGCCTGAGCATAAACAAAAGAACTCCCCAATTTACGTGCTCATGAGCTTTCTAAATGTCAAGCTTACATAACATTCCTGGAACCCCTAAACGCAATCTTAAGTCGATACATTCATTGGCTGTAAGTACGAAATCCAGAATCTGGCGCTCTTTGACAAAAACATTCTGAAATTTAAACACCACTTTCCCGAATACCTCCTTTAATCTGTTTACCAGAATCTTCATAATAATCTTGTGCACTCCACTCACTAAACTGATAGGTCGAAAGTTCTTGATATCTGTCGCTCCCGATTTCTTAGGAACCAGTACAATAAACGTAGCATTGGAGCTTCTCAAGAACCTACTGCACTGGGAAAAATAAGGACATCCACGATATTTGATCGCACCACTTCCCAACAAACCTTATAAAATGAGAATGAAAAATCGTCTAGTCCTGGAGCCTCGTCATCATTCATGTTGAATACCACCTCCTTAATTTCATCCTCCCCGAATGATCTCTCTAACCAACTAGCATCCTCTTCACTAATAGTAGATAAATCTAGCCCTTTCAGCTCTGGCCTCCATTCAAACTACTCCCGATAAAGAGTTTGGTGGAACTAACTATTTGGGACCTAATGTCCTGTGATTCCTCATAAGTAACCCCATCTACCTCCAACATAGTGATAAAATTGTTTCGTCTATTCGAATTAGCGACCCTGTGGAAAAATTGAGTGCATTTGTCTCCTCTTTAACTACTTGACCCTAGATTTCTGACGCCAAGCGATCTCCTCCATCTCCACCAACCTCACCAACTCTCCCCTTAATTCTCCACATCTCCCTCTCATCCCTTACTAATCCTTTACTCTCATCCCTTCTATCTAGCTTTTCTATGTCTGAAAGGCATTGATTTTTACGACAGTTAATATCTCCCACCGCCTCCTCATTCCACCTCTTCAACACCTTCAATTTTCGACCCAGCATGTAATTGGGAGACCCCCTGAAGTCATATGATGTCCACCACACCCGTACTCGCTCCACAAAACCTTCTACTTTTAGTCACATCTTCTCAAACCTAAACAGTTTACTTCCCGTACACCTCACATTCCCAAATAACGAAATAGGGAAATGATATGAATACACCCTCCCCAATCTCCTCTAAGTGATCTTTGGATACTTAGCTTCCGACTCTCCACATACTAGAAACCGATCTATTCGGGACAAGACAAGTTGATCCCGATAGATCATCTTTAAATTTAGAGAGTCAAAATTTTCATGCATTCTAGCAATGCTCTCTATTTTAGCTCTTCATTTTGATTTTCTCAACAAATATTTATTGATTTCTCCTCATATTTTATTTAACATAATTTTTTATATATCAATGGCCAATCAATTTAAATATAGTTTGAATAATTTAAGTAGAGTATTGAAATATGTGACCTATTAAATGCAATTATTGTTCATTAAGAATAGGTTTGACTCTCTAAAATTAGAGTCAAACCCACTCTATTTTAAAAAGTATAAATAGAGAGTCTCTTGAAACTTATTTTTAAGCATTAGCTTTTTAAAATAAAGAGCATTTTGTATTTAGAGATTCTTGAAGATACTCTAAGAACAATGAGGGGGCAGTCTTTCCAATTGACACAACCTACTATATTCTTAAGAGTTCAACTCTTCTGTTCTTCACAAAGTTTAATTTGCTCTAAGTTACTATCTCTAGAAACCTCTTCATCCCATATCTTCACTTTATTGTGCGAAACTCAGCTGTTGGATGAATCTAAAGTTTTCTCACACCTTGTCCATTCTCCCCTTTCACTATCTGTGAAAAGCTTTCCTAGAATTACGATGGTCCAACCATGTGTTCTAAAAATGTAAAGGGACAAAGTCCTATTTAGAAAGATTGGAGTCCAACTAATGGAGATCAAGGTAGAGACAACATAAAGCTAGATTTTAATTAGGATATTATTAGAGTTTGATTTAAAATATATCGAATATATTAGATTAGTTTTGATATTTTGATACAATTATAATTTGTTAGAAGTTTGTTTCCTTTTTAACTTGTTTTAGTTTATTTGCTCAATAAATAGAGGGGCTTAGTCAATGTAATAGATAACCTTGATTATATGAATAAAGATTAATTTCTCTTTACCTTCAATTCTTCTCTTCTTTGCACCCCTTTCTCTTCTTTTCTTCTCTTTCCCCTTCTCCTATAATTCCTCCATAGTATCCTACGTCACCAACACTATAGAAAAATGATCCAAAGTGGCTCTAAATTCTAATGTTAACCTCTTGACACACATCAGGAACAAAGCCTCCCAATACACCGGAAAGAGGAATTCCAATCTATAAGAAACCACTTCCCCTCATATCTGACCAAGCAAAAAGATAGTCTATTATGACATCCCTCAAATCATTTTCCGTAATGACCTCATCAAACACTATACTCCTAGAGGCTCTATTGTTAAAGGATTTCTCATAACAATACCTAAACCACTGATGTCCATGCCACCCCAACACACACACAACAATTAGGACCACAATCATATGAAACCTAACAAATTCTTCCCAAAACTGTAGTTGCTCTACAACATTATTATGTCCGTACGCCCTTGAAAACCTCTACACTTAGACAGTGAATTTGTTATGATTTGAATAACAACCAATTACAATCAAGTACTTTGATCTATTTTAAACCTGAAAGAACAACAATACACCCCCATTTTGACAATAGAAGGAAAATGTCAAAGACATCGAATGTACGAAACGAAATAACAATTAAGAACAAGAGAGAGAAAGCATACGGAAGTGAAAAAAATAAGAGGGAGATTGTAATTGTATTCAATATTCAAGGTGAGTTTATCACAATCAAAGAATATCTTTATATGGAGTGTAAACTAGTAGGATTAATAAGGAAAACTAGGGTTCGTCTATGAAGGAAACAAAATCAATTGTACATTATAATAAAACGCAATAAAAATCAATAAGGAAAATACTATCAAATACTAATTGATTTGATTGCTTGTACGCCTAGAATATACTCTCCATGCTTTGTGAGTCAATCTTTCAACCTTAGGATTCAATTTTCTCAAGACCCACAACTACTTCGAAATTCACATTTCATTCGCAATTCGTTTTAAATTGAAGATTTCTCAAACCTAAATACAGCCTCGATTCAAGCAAACTTATCTATAACATTTTAGGAGGAATAGTATTGAATCCCACGAAAAGTATCGATAATAAATGGGTAGTGCCTAAGATTATCAGAATGGTTGGCATGTTTAAAATCTGAAATATACAAGTGCCAACTTCTTAAACTAATTGAAATAATAATTTAAAAAATAAAAAATAAAACAATGAGAGACCGTGATCATATTTGAAGACCACCACTGTATTTTCTTTTTGCAATCTTGACAATAATCTTCATCACTACATCTACTATATAAAGAATAGAATGATGACAAAAAGGACCTTGAGAACAACAAGAAGAGATATCTTGTTCCGAGAGGAATAATTAAGAATTTGAGAGTATATAATATAAACTTTTGGGATGAATATTCAGTGAACCGAATTTCAAAGATGAGGTGGTGAAATTAAGCATGTCACGGACTCATGGATAGAATTATTAGGTAGTATGTCTGTTCTGCAAGTACAACTATACAGGGAAATTAGCAAAAAGTTTTCAGAGGACATGGATTGGTAGATTCAGGAAATCACCATTCAACTTAATATTTCAGTTGGAGAAGATCCGAACGGTCATGCGTGGAACTGTAACTTGAGATAAGAAGATTACATGATTGAATAATGAAATGATTTGGGCTCTCAAATATCCAACTGATCAATTAATTCTCTATAATGTACTCATGCCTTCCCATGTCGATATACAGAATGAGAAGGACAAAAATCAACTTCAATGATAGGAATGTAATACTATTTTGAACTTAAATAAAAATAAATAAATAATCAGTACAAAAAGAAAGATTACTACAATTATCTGCTTGCCAAATGAAAGTTGCTTAGTCTTCCTTCACTCATGTGAAGAAACTTCGTACATTATTTTGTTTGTACATCATTACTCTACTTAAAATATCTTAAAATGTTCAGTTATTTGTAATAATTGTAAACACAATGTTTTTTAAGGAGTCTCTATTGAGAAAATTCCGATTTACATAAATAACAAAATTGAGATGCTGAATATTTGTTTTAGCATAATACTTTTTGAATAACTGAACAAGAGCAGCTTAGAAGTATTGTTCAATCTAGTCTTCTCATGAATACAAGTAGGGAAATATAGCAGTATAGCATGACTACCTTCAAAGCACAATCTACTCTGGCCATCAATATGATTCCCGGATAGACAGCATCAGCTCCATTAAAAAGCCTTGCAACCTTCTCATAATATGGCTGACAAATTGTATATTTAATTTTGAGAAACATAATTATGAGATTGCTAACAACAATATAGGATTAATCAAAATAAACCTTGTAGTTTCTGCAAGCCGGGCACCTGCAAGAACAACAATGGAAAGTATATTAGAAGAGCATCATAGATTTCAGTATACAATACTCAAGGCAAAACTCCAAACTTACATTACATTGTCACTTTCACATCAACAACTAATCTAGACTCCTATATAAGTGCATAAATATACTCAATTTCTAATAGACGTAAGTATGAATATTCAAACACAAACATAAATATAGAGAAAACTCAACTTCATGCCTTTTCATTCTTTATAATAGAGCTTTCATTTTGTAGAATGTCGAATACTATATGCGCATTGCAGTAAAATGCAGCTGACTAGGCTCCTTTATAATCCTTAAAGGTTGTGCAAAGCTATTTTAACATGTCTCAGCAACAAAACACAAACTTGTCACCAGATATTAGCATATGCGCATGCATGTTCATCAAATTATTAATTGTGACTAAATGAGTTTCTCATCTTAATTTTTCATTCAATTTTGACAGCAAGTGTTGTGCAGTGAAGCAAAGAAGAAAAAGGAGTAGAAATAAAATAAAGTATTTAATGACAAAATTTCTAGCACAAAACCACTGCCAGGTAAGAACGGAAAACCCAGACGCACGTATGGAAACTTAAGTTACCACATTTCAGTTTTTGACTTTGATATAACAAATTAGGATCATTTTACTTATTCTCAGATAAGTAAATCCTAACATTATATTTTACAGAAATCCACAACTTTTGTCATGACCATGAAATGAAGGAACTGTATAGTCTCCCATAAAAATTCCTCCAAGAAAACTCTCTTTTTTTTTTCCTTTTTTTTTTTTCCTTTTCCTCCTTATAAGTTAAAAACATATGTCAATCAACTTCATAATCCCTTTCCAGAAATTTATGGCTTGATACATCTGTTTAACGCTGTGTACTATTACCACAAAATTTACTTACTACACCGCATTATAATCACACTATAATTAAAATATATTTTCAATAAATATACCCCAACAAATTTACAAGTATACTTCTAATCCAATAAAAACTAAAAATGGGGCAAAAAATATAGTATTGCGGTGTATTCATTATCCCAATATACTCCTCATTTTTCTCATCCTTTCCGCCCATTCTAGATTTTTTGAAAGAAACGAACTTGGTAGAAAACCTCACATGAATTGGAGAGTGACAGAAATGATTTGACTTTGAATGATTCTACGATATCAAATCTTCAAAAGCAATTTGAGAAAGTTGCGGCTGAAGCTGGGTCTTATTTAGATGATGATACAGATTCACGTGATACCCCAAAAATTACAGTGAAGAATAGAATATCAAAAAAAAGAAGAGGAAGGTCGCTAAGACTGCAGAGAGGACACAACACTGACAACTTAGACATGAGTGGTCAAGGAGATGACACATTCGATAATGCTGCTAAGGGCGCGGAGAAGAGTGCAAAGAAGGTTAGGTTTCGAGGGAAAAGAAATGAAAACTAGGTTTATGATTGTGGTGTAACAATAAATTATTTTATATGATAAATATATTAAAACTCCATATATGTAATTTTACTTAAGACTATTTAAGTAAATAAAAAATGCTTAATTTTGTGATGTGATTAACAAAATTCGTAGTGAAAATATAATTACCCATCTATTTATTGTTTAATATTGCAAGTGTAAACAAAGAGCGTGTTTGGGAGGTGTTTATAAATAGTTTTAAATTATAAATTGTTAGAAATAAGTGGTGCATAAGTGGGTGGTAGTTGTGCGTTCTTCAAAATGTGTGGATAAAAAAGTGGCAAAAGTGTTTATAAACATGTGCCAACATAGGCTAAGAAACACAATAATCTTCCGGTGAAGCATCAGGCATCACATGTGAACCAGATGGAAGCACTCTAAAAACAAATCACAGACATAGACTACCATCCCTACAATCACAAGCACGTAAATAAGATGAAGTCAACATTTTTTGCACTTGTAACACTGCCCAATACATTTCGATCACTTTGAAATTCAACAAATGAAAACTTGAAAGCTAAAAAAATTCTCATACTTACAGCATGTATATAATATCTGAAAGTAAAATTAGTATACACTTCTTGTAACATCCCAATTTTTTTACTGCGAATTAAATTTAAATTTAGGACTTAAGTGTTCTATTATTAAAGTTAAATGACCTTATTAGTTATTAATCAATAGTTGAGGGCCTAAGTTGAAAGTTATTTTGGAGATTAGATGAAATCATGCATAAAACATGTGTAAATATGCTAATTGGTCTTGATTAATGATGATTTATTGACCGTGTGCATTATTCACACCACATTTCAAGCCAATGTAATTGATTTGACCACGTAAATAAAGGAAGTTGATTTGACCACATGCCCTAGTTTTAAGCTAAATAAATTGATTTGACAACATGATTTAAGCTATTGATTTTATTATTTTCATGACAACAAACCATTTAAGCATTTAACATGCATAATATCTAGTCATTTCCTTTCACTTTTCCACACATGGTTAAGAATTTTCCGGCAAATCCAACACTAAATTACCCCTCAACAACTATTTATACACTCTCCCTCTCTACCTCTATAACTTTGTCTCTCCACTTCCTCTCTTTCTCGTCATTTTGATATTAAATATAATCGTATACTTGTAAAAAAACACGGGAATAATCAACTCCACAAGGGCTCAAATATCTCTTTTTAACAATAACTCATTTTTATCATTTTTGATTGTCCAATAAAAAAGGTAAGTTGTGCTTTATGTTTATGGCAGCTAATGTTTATGTATGTAACATTTCTATGACTATGTTATGTTTGGTCCATGTTACGAATGTTTTATTAAGAATGACTGGAGTTTAGTAACGCTACGCACGAGAATTTAGCACCATAGAAGTAAGGTCTAATTTTTGTGTCTCCTTATGCAAGTTATGAATTTTTCGTAGAGATACATATATGAATTCTTTATCCGCACACACTTATTGAGAATTTATTATTACCCCATTATTTTTCTACTTTCAAATAATTGACAATTTGAGGCAGTCAACACAGAGATGGCTTATGATGGCAATAGTTTCAATAATAGAATTATTAAGTTGTCAAACTATTATTTCATTTGATTTTAAATGTTTTAAGATATTTCTCGTTCCAAGTTAATTTATTAAATTCATTACATTATTTGAATTTTGGTAAGTACTTAAATAATTTATATGATTATGTCGAATATTCTTTAAACTAATTTAGTTTAGTGACACTTGAACCTTAAGGATTCGGGTCGTTACACTTCTACCCTTTCTACTATTATCACGACTCTAGTGAAAGAGAGACATACCCAACCATATGCTCAATTGGTCTCTTTAGTATGGTCACACTTCCATTTTGACATCCTCATTTCAGCTACATTCATCAAAACATTTGATACACTTCGTAAACAAATCAAAGCAGATCTAATAATTATACCTACACGTGCCTATAACTTTTAGAGATCTTTCTATCACAGAATTTCTATAGCACTTAACCATTTCATCCACCCTCCCTAACATTATGCATTACATTCTCTTCAAGTTCGCCTTACTGAAAACAATCATTAATGTAGGACAACCTATTAGAATTCTTAGTATTTCAAGGATTCTAGTATAAAATGTTTTATAGGCTACTTCATTTAAGAGTAGGTTATCAGTTTTCTTTTGTTATCTTTTGTTAGGAGATTGATTCCTTTTCTTAGCTTGCTAGGATCACGAGATTCTCTTTCTTCTCTATATAAGAAAAGGGATAAGCATATCTGTAATCATCAAATTCAATATTTAAGTTATTCTACTCCAAAACTTAAGCTTTTCAAAAAAAATTCTTGTTTTACAAGAATTGAATTCCGCTTCCACGCCATCTTTCTTTAGGACATCACTCTACATTGACTTCATTATCGTACTTATTCCTGCTATTATTAAAAGGATATTCCATGTACTCGGTTTGAATTCTACTTAACTAAAACATTTGAATTTCAAAATACTCCGAAGTTTAAGTATTCTTTAATCCCCCTCAAATAAATACTACGTCATCAGCAAATAACATACCGTTTGTTTATCCATGACCAAAGCATGAAGATAAAGACTAGGGTAGACCTTGATACAAGCCTAAATTGTTGGGAAATTCCTTGCTACTAGTGTCGGTACATATCACACTTGTAAGTCCCACTTTACATATCTTTAGCAATACTGATATATCTTATAGAATTTATTTTTCTCCGTAGCACCTACCGAAGCATTTTTGGCAAAATCAATCATAAAATTTGAAAGAAGATGATAGAACCCCATTCAAGTATAACTATTCTAGAAGATCAAGAAGAATGGAGAAAGAGAGGACAACAACAAAATCTGTTAGTAGGCAAGCTAAGGTGAAAAAAAAAAAAGGCTTATAAATAGAATAAGGGATATATAGTAAGGGGAAAAATAGTGAGTGAAATCATATTGTGGAGAGTTACAACCCTATCAAACGGCTGATTGCATTTCTTTTCTTGCTGTAATTCAGAATTCAATCAATACAGAAATTTAATTTCTGTCCTGTTCATTTGTTGCATTAAATCGACAGGTAGTACACATCACAAGATCTGTTTCTTTTCTTTATATATTTGTCCATCATTCTCCTAAGCAAGAATATAGCATCCACAATAGTTTCTGTTGGCATAAGGTTGAACTAGTTCTACAAAAATTTAGAATTAAACCTTAATATATGCTTACCACCTTCTATAATAATATGACATGTTATTTCAATACCTCTCAATTCGTAATATATTTTAATATCTCCTTTATTCTTATGAACAACATAACACTCTTGCTCCATCCATTTGTTAAGATCTCATTGAGAAATTTTCAACAATAAAACATGCACCCCATCGAGGCACTTCCACACTTAATCAAGAGTTCCATCTGAATGACTTGTTTTCCTCATATTCGTCCTCTCCAAAGCCTCCCCTACTTTAAAGACAAGGATTTTCTTGTATAGCCAACATTCATATATACAATAAAGTTATGCATATTCTCAATATCCATAATATGTTGTGAATGTAATTAGCCGCAACGTGTTGCTATCTCTATCTAAAACTCATTTTTCTTCCTTTAAAACTTTATCCTCGAAATTTACTTGTTCTCCACTCTTCAAGTTTTACCATCTTGTTCTATGATGAACTCAAAAATTACCTTAAAATATTTACACAAAGACCTTTCTACCTTCCTAGTTCTAAAAGTTATGAGATGAAACTTCCTATTTGAAACATGTTGTCTCTAACACCAACTAACAAGATAACCCAAAGTCCAACATCATAACTTACAATGATTCCCAAAGTCAAAAGTTCCGCATACTTTCATATCCCAGCGTTCAAGTCTGAACAAGGTTATCGTGTGACTAAGCCCCTGTTTGGGAGCCTTTTTTTTTTTTTTTACACTATATATTTTTTGACCATTGGAATGTGGCCAATTTCTGCCAAAACTGACATATCCACCACAATTGACAATTCAAATGTATACCATATTATGTCAGTTGTCACTTTTGCCCCTCATTACTAAACAAGTTTAAAATCTAAGAAGGGGCACTTATGTCATTTTGCATGCCCACAACATTTAACCATTTTGAAAGTCACCGTAATGTTCAATAATTACTGTATGTCCGGATCCCACCGACCTTCTCATACGGTAAAACAATGAATTTCAATTTAGCCAAAAGTGGCTCCTGAACAGGGGCTAAAGATTGCCAAAATCAACCCATCAATATTGACCGGGATATGTTGTTTGTTGCCTCATTTCTTCCCATTGGTAGAGCATATGTGATAATAAGGGTAATTGACACTTCTCCAATAAAAGTCTAATTAAGTGCTTGTTTGGATAACAATAAATCAATCATTATAAATTAAGTCAAAGTCAAACATCAATTTTAAATCACACATTCACAATTATTGCTTACTTATTATCCATACATTTTGTGAGACCCACTAATCCCTTTCATTGAAATCTCATCGTAATTTTATCAAAACAAGTACTAATATAATCCTTTCCCTAAACCATTAACTACTATGAACCACTTCTACAAATCCAAATTTTCCTACCCAATTTATATTCATTTCCTTGCATTTACTTTTATCTATGTATCCCGTGCCCCCTACTCTTTCGTCTTCTCCCTTTCCATTTGATGTCTTGTACATAGAGCTACGTTGGTTGAAATATACTTCCCCTAATTTCCAACATTTGTTAGTTTGATGTGTCTATTCTATGCTGCCTATTGACTTGAGTCCACGTTTGAACGATAATGAACTAGTGCAATCAGGACTTCAAATGAATGTCGTCTACATTAGGTTAGTCATACTCTAATTATTGTAGGTCAATGGTTGGCAACATCAACCAATACTATACAATATACACTGGAGGAAAAAACACCATCTAACAATTTGGTGATTTACCCAGAGAAGACAAAATGTTAATAGGGACTATTAATCAAGCACAAATCCAAACATGTTACCTGTCCAAAGAACTTTAGAACTTAAATCCAAATCAAGAGTAAGTTTGGCAAAGCTTAAATTATACTTTAAGTTCGTCAAATATATATTTTATCCACATATTTCATAGGACCCACAACTTACTATTAAGCACTACCAAACAAGCAACAAGAAAAAACCAAGTAAATGGTCTCTGCATTCTTTTTATGATTTCCATTAACAAATGTCAAATGTGTGCCTACTTCTAACACAAACCATCCATCTGAAAACCTTCAGGCTTCCCACACATGTTGAACCTTTGAACACTAGCAGCAAGTGTAATTCTAGTCAAAACATTCAGATGATTTAATTCCATGGTAAAACATTATGCAGGTTATCAGGATCCATGATCCATTTTCAACATTGGTTGTAATCTTGCACACGTTTCACTTGCTTTGTCCATATCTGGCAACTATTCAACATTGATTAGTTGTAATCTTGCACACGTTTCACTTGCTTTGTCCATATCTGGCAACTAATTTCTTGCTTCTTATTATCCTTTGGACTTCTAAACATTCAATCTGATACGGACAATTTTGTCCTATATAATGTTACTCCAAATTTACAAGCATCAGTCCAAAAATTTGGAAAGACCGTCTAACTTTTTTCTTAAAACTCTAAAAGACCAAATCAAGCGCAGTTCATAGAACTGCAACACTCACAAGAAATTATTACCAAATTTCTTTTCCAAAAAAGACCCATTTTTAGTAATAATTCTGGAAACCCATGTAAAACTCTGATGTCCTGCGACACAAATATTTCTGTGAAGTAGTCATATGTCAAAAGATCTTTTTACCAAAATATATATAATCATTGACATATAAAAAGTAGAGAACCCAGCAACAGTATTTCAAAGAAATTGTTTTCCCAAGTATACTTTTAACTAAAAGCTGATTATATGATATGATTGGTATAATTTATCCATCCTAAACCATTTAAGCACCTTCTTCAAGGATCTTAATATGCAAATCTATCACCAAACAAACAACAGAGACATCATTTCACATCCTTCTATTCCTCGAAAAGAGATCCTCGGTTAAAAAACAAAAACATGTTCATCCATTAAATGACAAAAATGAACTTTAACCAAAAAAGGTAACTGACCAGTGGGCAAAAAATTCAACAATGGCATAAGTGGTGGGGGTCTCCTTAAGCACAGCATCGAAATTCGTGGCGTTTATATCCACTGCGTAGTCCAGCTTTTCAGCTCCATTTTTGTTAGCACTGTTGGCTGATCGCAGAATGGATCGAGATCCAAATGAAAATGGTGAAGAAATCTCTTGTGACGATGCTTCGATTGTTGACATAAACAGTGCCAGAATTAACACACCAATCATCATAGTTACAGAAGAAAAGGACCCAGATATACATGTATATGTATATGAATACATATTTTGGTGGAGTGGGGTACTGTGCAAGGTCCCGTAAGATGAAGGAGGGTTTGTAATTTTGAGTGGATATTACGACAACCTTCGTTTTTGGAGTTTTGAGGAGTTGGCCTGGCCTACCTAGGACTTAATGCGGTTATTGATGGAAGCAGTTACTGGTTCCGCACTTTGGTTGTTCTGTCTGATAACGGAAAAGATGAAGACGACACCATGGAATGGAAGCATCTGAAATAGACGAGGAATCCAAATGGGAATTTGGCACATTAGGCGAACTAGATAATATTCTTTGTTAAATAGCTTTTGACTAATAATAAAAATAGGGGGGATTTTGTTAAAAAGCCATTCAAACAATCTATTTGATTAAACAATTATATTTCAATTTTTGTTGGTATAATAGCCTTCAATTATAAAATATAATAAACAAATAATATCAAAAGTCCAAAATGCGCTCACCATAAAAAGACCCAAATACCCCCTTCAATCCATTTAAATTTCTCATTTCATCTCCAAAAATCATCGTCTTGCTCTCCCTGTAGTAGTGTAAATTCTTGTTATCTATTACTTCACTCATCTTCTTAAACATTTTGAGCATTTGATCAAGAATATTGATTTTTATATCATTTATATTGAAATATCTCCTATATTTGAAGAAAAAAGAAATGTATTTTTAGAAATGTAGTGTACATTGATACTTTTATTGTTGAATATAGTATAAAATGATATTTTAGTTGATTTTTTTTATTTTTTTTTACATTTGGTGTATTTTGGCTGTCCGCAACTATTGGACGATAACGACACTCCAGTCGTTATCTGTAGTTTAGAACGATACTACAGTCGTTATCGTCCATGTAAAGCAACAGTAAAACCATAAGTGTAATAGGTGTTTGAAAACTGGGCATAACCATATCACTTATACGAATCATGTACCACTCAGTGAGAGACATGAACGATGAAGACAAAATGACACATCTGTTAGTTTTTGTGGTTTATGATATGCTATTTTTGTAATATTGAAAAATAATGGTGGTGTTATGATATTTAGCTTTTGTCATTTTGAAAAGCAAATTATTTATAAGGTTTGGAATGATAGATTTTGTCATTGTCTTAGGATCGATAAAACTAGAACGGCGGATATACTTTTATTTTGTTATTATAAAACAATACTGGTGTCGTTTTAAATATTTCACCTAAAAAATATAAAAATGATGTTCAAAAATAAAATATTATTGATTTAATAGAAACTAATTTCAAAGTATACATAGTATCAATTATTTATATCGTATTTATATACATAACGGCACTTGTACCGTTTTTATAACAGTAACGGCACTTGTGCTGTTTTCTTTTTTCATGTTGATTAAGTAACGAACATATCTCTCAAATTTTGTAAATGTCATGTTCATCTTACAACTTAAATGAGTTCAAATTATCGATTATCAGAACTCGAACAGGTTGTGGGTATTCATACTCGTGTTTATAAACAGAATGACACGTGTCGTTTAACAGCACCTTTGCCGTTATGTTGATTTCTCTATTATTTTGCTCATTTTTCATCGAAACAACATCAAGCATTGGACTCCCTAATTTAAGAAAGTCTAAAATATTAGTTATGTGAAAAATATCGATAGAATTAACATAGATTGTATGATATCAAGTTAAAAAAATCACAAGGCATTATCTACATTTTTTAGAAAATATAATTAATGGGTGTCTTTCAAATTTTGTAAATGTTATACTCATTTTGAAAATTAAATGAGTTCAACTTGTTGATTATCGATGCTCGAATAGGTCGTGGATACTCATACTCGTGTTTATAGATAGAACGACACACGTATTGTTTAACGACACTTTTGTCGTTATATTGATTTCTCCAATAATTTTCTTCGTTTTTACTGCAACAATTTCAAACATTAGAATCCCTAACTTAAGAAAGTCAGAGATATTAGTTATGTGACAAATATTTATAGAATTGACATAAATGGTATGATATCGAATTGGAAAAATCACACGGCATTGTCAATATTCGTTAGAAAATATAATTAATGAGTATATCTCTTAAATTTTGTAAACGTCATGGCCATTTTGCTATTTAAATTAATTCAATTTATCGATTATCGAAGCTCAAAAGGGTCGTAGGTGCTCATACTTGTGTTTATAAGTAGAACAACACATGTGTTGTTTAACGACACTTTTGTCGTTATGTTGATTTCTTCAATATTTGACTTCGTTTTCACCATAACAACTTCAAGCATTGCATCCCAACTTAAGAAAGCCAAAAAAGTTAGTTATGTGACAAATATTGGTAAAATTGACGTAGATTGTATGATATTAAGTTGGATAAATCACAAGGTATTATCTACATTCATTAGAAAATATAATTAATGAGTATATCTCTCAAATTTTGTAAATATCAAGTCGATCTTGCAACTTCAATGAATTCAACTTATCGATTGTCGATGCTCAAACGAGTCGTGAGTGATCATACTCGTATTTATAAATAGAACGGCACACGTGTTGTATAACGGCACTTTTGTCGTTATGTTGATTTCTCTAATATTTGACTTCATTTTCACCATAACGACCTCAAGCATTGGATTCCCTAACTTAAGAAAGTTAAAACGGTTAGCTATGTGACAAATATTGGTAGAATTGACATAGATTGTATAATATCGAGTTGAAGAAATCACAAGGCATTATCGATTGCCGATGCTAGAACGGGTTGTGGGTGATCGTACTCGTGTTTATAAATAGAATGACACACGTGTTATTTATCGGCACTTTTGTCGCTATGTCGATTTCTCTAATATTTTACTTTGTTTTCACCATAACGACCTCAAGCATGGATTCCCTAATTTAAGAAAGTCGAAAATATTATTTATGTGACAAATATTGGTAAAATTGACGTAGATTGTATGATATTGAGTTGGAGAAATCACATTGCATTATCTACATTCGTTAGAAAATATAATTAATGAGCATCTCTCAAATTTTGTAAATGCCATGTTCATCTTGTAACTTAAATGAGTTCAGTTTATCGATTATCGATGCTCAGATAGGTCATGGTTGCTCATACTCATGTTCATAGACTAAACGGCACACGTGTCATTTAACGGCTCTTGTGCCGTTATAATGATTTCTCCAATATTTTACTTTTTTTTTCACCGCAACAACATCAAGCATTAGCCCCCCTAACTTAAGAAAGTTGGAATGTTGATTATATGACAAATAATGGTAGAATTGACAGAGATTATATAATATCGAGTTAGTGAAATGACAAGTCATTATTTACATTCGTTAAAAAATATAATTAATTCGCATATCTCTCAAATTTTGTAAACAGCATGTCCATCTTGTAACTTAAATGAGTTCAGTTTATCGATTATTGGGACTCGGATAGGTCGTAACTGCTTATACTCTTGCTTATAGATAGAATGACACAAGTGACGTTTAACGGCACTTGTGCCGTTATGATGATTTTTCTAATATTTTGCTTCTTTTTTTCACCATAACAATCTTAACAATTGGACCCTTGAACTTAAGAAAGTCCAAAATATTAGTTATGTAATAAATATCAGCAGAATTGATATAGGTTATATGATATCGAGTTGGTGACATCACAAGTCATGATCTATATTTGTTAATAAATATAAATAATGAGCATATATTTCAAATCTTATAAATGGCATGTCTATCTTGCTATATAAATGAGTTCAACTTATCGATTATTGGGATTCGGACAGGTCGTGCTTGCTTATACTTTTGTTTATAGAGAAAATGGCACAAGTGTCTTCTAATGGCACTTGTGCCGTTCTGTTGATTTCTTCAATACTTTGCTTCATTTTCACCATAACGACCATATGTATTGGATCCCCTAAATTCTCTTGTGCTGTCTTCATGAACGAGTTTGTGTATCGTAAAAACGCCACTTGTGCAACTGAAATGAGCAAATCTCTCAACTTTTAGAAACGACATGTCCATTTTGTAACTGAAATGAGTATAACTTATTGATTCTCGGGGCATGGATGGGTCATAGTTATGTATACTCATGTTTATAGACAGAATGACATAAGTGTCGTTTAACAACTCTTGTGCCGTTCTGTTGATTTTTCAAATATTTTGCTTCTTTTTCAACTAACGACCTCAAACATTGAATCATATAACTTAAGAAAGTCAAAAATGTTGATCATGTGATAAATAGTTGAATTGATATAGATTATATAATATTAAGTTGGTAAAATCCCAAGTCAATGTATTGATATGTTAGAAATATAATTAATGAGCACATCTCTCAACTTTTGTAAATGGCATATTCATCTTGCAATTGAAAGGAATTTAACTTATTGGTTTTCGAGATCTGGATGGGTTGTGGCTGCTTATTCTCGTGTTATGACAGAACAGTACAAGTGACGTTTTCTTTAGAAGTACGGCACAAATGACGTTTTCCTGGATAAGCTATATTTCGATAAATGTACTTGTGTCGTTCTTTTAGAACTTTTCATTTCAGCATTTGTGCCGTTCTCTTAGAACTTTTCATCTTAGTAACGATAAAGTGTTGTTATCAATGACCTTTCATCCTTAAGCATTGGATCCCTAAAGCACCCAAGAAAAGTAGATCATGTAACAAAGAACGGTTGAAATAACATAGATTATTTGATATCAAGTTGATGAAAGCACAAGTGATTCTATTATTTTTAACAAAATACAAGTAATGAGCATATTTTTCAATTCTTTTTAAATGTCATATCAACCTTACAACTTAAATGAGTTCAACTTATTATTTCTCAAGGTATGGAAGAGTTGTTGCTACTTAAACTCGTGTTCATAGATAGAACGACACAAGTGTAGTTTTATAATCAGTAATGGCACTTGAGCTATTCGGTTGATTTCTCCTTTACTTTCATTTGTTTCCAACGCAATGACCTTTAGAATTGGACATCCTAAGTTTTCCATTTTCATTTAACTTAAAAGATATTAACAAAAATGTATGTCGAATCAACAAAACAGCACAAATGTCGTTATTAATATGAAAACGATCATTGTGCCATTATGGAGTTGTTTAAGCCCCCTCTCTTTTTCTTTTCTTTTAAAAAAAGAATTTTGTAATAGTGAAAAAAAGAGCTTTATAATAATATTATGATGGAGAATGTGTAGCTAAAAAATAAAAAAAATTTGAGTTTGCGTGTAATATTATTTTATTGAAGAACGTGCGATTAAAATGAGATCAAATTACTGTTCAAGAATTCATTTTGATGAAAAATGAGACTCAAACA